TCCAGGTCCCCTGCTAATATGGGTTTCTTTGGCTTTTTACCTTTTTCCCTGCACTTGGGACCTGCTGCCACCCTGGCTACCATGACCCTACATGCTTTCTCTAGGTGGGGCTTTAGCTACATGGGCCAATTGAGGACTGCATCCTGCCAGTCAATATAAGGAAATTGATCTGGGTGTCCAGGCTCCCCTATAACCACTTCAAAAACTCTATTGACCCATCCGAGAGCCATCCTACACCAAAAGCAGTCCACTGTATTTCACAGATGGTCCTAAGCTTGTCAGAAGTCAGCTTGACTCCATAATCTCTATTAAATCCCTATTTAAAGTTCTTAAGCATGTACCCCAGGGGGTATTCTTACTCTGACCTCCTCCCATTCCTCCCATTGCCAGATGTCCAGACAGAGACAGAAACAGACGGGATGAGGATTGTGGAGAGGAGGTAAGAGGTCTTTCTTTCTGGCACACAGGGGAAAACAAATAACACCACTCACTTTGTCTGTCTCTGGCCACTACCCTCATGGAGATTTAGGCATCTCTTGGCCACAGTGACTCCTTATAAACCCTGGACCAGAGGCCCTGTTAGGGCTCACCCATATAAATTCACCACAGATCCACAGATTGGGACCCTGCACTCCTTCATGGCTGGGCAGCGTCTCAGGCTCACACTTTTACACACTCTCACACAGCGCAGTACTTCCACCCCACTCCCTGAATCTGAGAAACATGGTTTCACTCCAAAAGACAGTTACTAGGGTGTCTCCGCTGGAAGTTGATCAAGCTCTCCTTCTGCCTGTTAGGGGCAGGCCTAAATTCAAACCTGGGTTCTTACCAGGCTGATGAATAGGGCTCCCAAGTTAGTTCCTGAGCCTTTCTGGGTTCCTTTGTGTGACTGAAACTCACCTCCTCACTTCACTGGGAGAGAGGCTCCCTCCCCTCAGATCAACACATCTGGTGGCACCTGGCAGGGGCTGCCCTCCTGATGGGCTGGGGAAGCTGAGCAGGCAACAAGGAGGTGAAAACACCACCGTCCAAACCCCAGACAAGCCCCCAGAAATGTTGTAGGATGGCTGAGACAGAGAGACAGGGCACAAAAGCTTTCGGGAAGCAAGTTTATTAAGCAGGCCAGCAGCCAACTCAGAGGATTTGCATCCAAAAGCTGAGCCCTGAGAACAAAGGGGGCTTCCTTAGAGCAGGTTACAGAAATGGGAGGTGGTACATCTTGTCCCATACATGGTCACATACTATTTCATTGGCCATTCTAACCTCTGGGGCGAGGTGACCCTTCTCTGGTCTCACCCCAGGTGCTACTTCCTCAAATCTGGCTTTTTTGTTGTTGTTGTTTTACTGTTGCACTGACTATTTCTCATTGTCTTTCTTATTGTCTCTCATTATCTCCCTTCCCCCTCCCTACCTTCCTGCCCCAGTACCATTGTGCATTTGAAAGAGAGAGTTTCCATGAAATATCTCCTGATTCTGAAATGCTAATTTTAATTTTTTTCTTTTTCAAAATAATAGTTGAAATATTTGAAGAAGCCAAAAAGCACCAGGGGCTTATAGTAAAAAGGGACAATCTTTGCCCACCTTGTCCTAACTAAGAGACAAAGTAACCACTTAAGACTTTTGAAAAAAAAGTCTTTTGCCTGTTTGCTCTGCTTTTTATTTTTATATTTCTAAATAACAAGCTTGACTTGCTATTTCTTGAGTCATCATTCTTGTGACTTCCTGTTGTGGAAGATGAGACTGAGATCCTTTATAACCTGGCTTCTCCCCACATCTAGGCAATCAAATTGGAAACTTCATCAATGTTAAGATCCACTGGGCTCATTAGCATGTTAGGAGCCAAGAGATCCTGCATGAAGAACTGCATTATGGTGCCTCCCTAAGGATCACTGAACCTCTTGGACCACAGAGTCATGGTTCATTGTTTCTTACACTAGTCTGTGTCACTAGCTTCTGTGGAGCACCCTGGCAAGGCTGCCTTAGAATTTTATTCATGAGACAACTGGAGTCCACAGCCTCTGGGCTGCCTAAGGCCTCCAGGTGAACAAACAGAAAGGCAGAATTCAAATAGCCTAGTCTTGCTACTGAGAACCTTGTGGAGGGGACAACTGTGTCTTGGGCTGTCCTGTTGTCTTGTGCATGCTGAGGGGTGTCCAGAGAACCTCTGCCTTCCCCAACACATGCCAGGAGCACCCTGTCCTGCACTTACGACACCTGAAAGTGTCTTCAGATATTGCTGAATGCCTCCCATGAGCAAAGTCACCTGGTTGATTTGTGCTTCTCAAGCTTGGGTGCAAAGCAGAGTCACATGGGGACGGCAAAAGCCAGGCACTGAGTCTTCTCTGTGAGGTTTCAGTCCAGTGGTTCTGGGCAGGGCTGGAGATCAGTGTGTAGTGAGTTCCTGGGTGGTATTGACTTCTGGTCTGTGCTAAGTGGCTGCACAGATGGACATGTCATCCTCTATGAAATCGATGTAACAGCACTCTTGACATTTGCAGAACAGAGAGAGGGTGTGACTAGGTCAGCAAGTGGAGTTTGGGTGTTTAGAAATCAGAGTATTGGGCAGTATTGGGGAGTATTGGGATGGTGGCTCAGGGGTAGATCGCTTGTCTAGCACACATGAAGCCCTGGGTTCCAGCACCAGCACTGCAAAACAAAACAACAACCAAACCAAACCAAAAGAAAAACTGCCATGACAAGAAGATGGAAGGCAACTGAAAAATTTTAGCTTATGGAGCAAATGAAAATTTGGGTTGCACTTGCTATAAATTTAGTGACTTATCTCAAATAATATCACTATAGAGGTGACCAAAAATGAAAAGAAACAATCTCAGGAAAAAATGACCAAGACGACTGCAATGAATCTAACTTGACAATACTACTGCCCACCAGCTTCATTGAACACATTCCCAATTGCTCTTGTTAAACTTTCTGTGAGGAATTTCATATCAATTCCCTGGTGCTGTCAAAGGGCTCTCCACCACACTTCAGTTAATGTCACACACTTTTAAATACCTTTCCTGAGCAATTTGTGTAGAACAGCAGAAAACTACTGGAATGAATGCAGGACACGTTTCTGCAAATTGGAGAAAGACTAATAAAAGAAATCACAATAGCCAGAATTTAAACCTAATCTTCAGGGGTTGCTAGGAATGATGGAGGTCCACAGAGGCAGTTTTAATCATGGCTTTTTAGCTCTCATCAGAGCCTGCCCTGCTGCCTGGTGCTAACACTTAATTGTAGCCAAGAGAGTCTGAAAAATACAATCTATCTCCACCCCAGAAAGCTGCAAACAAAATCAATAACCCTGTGCTGGCAACCTTACTTTATTGTTGTCTTCTTAATCTCCCCTACTCATTTGCAATTACTTTTATTACTACTGCTCATTTAATGAAACCATAGAGTTTGGAGTCAGACAGTGACATTCGTTAAATCTGGAAGATGCTAATGGAATTGAGTTCAAACCAGGTTAAAAGTAATAGGATTTACAAGCATTAGTGGTCAGCACCTCACACACACAGCCTGTGTACCTGTTACATGCCAGAAATTAGTGTCGGCCTCAAATGCAAAGACTGGAACAAAGTTCAGAGGGACCTGTGTGCAACTTCGCTCACTCATTCAACACACTTGTTGCTTCAGTGTAACGTAAACAAGATGGCTGTGGTCCCTGAATCATGGAGCCTGTAGTCTGCTAGAGGAGAAAGACAATATCAAGCAAGCAACCATAATCACTACCCATGCGTGGTAGTTTTCCTTACAAAACAGGTAACAAAATACCTGACAGAACCAAATTAGAAATAAGAAAGGTTTATTTTGACTCACAGTTTTTGGGGTTTCAGTCCATGACCAATTAGCTTTGTTGCTTTGTGCCTGTGACACCACAGTACAACTGTGCAAGAAGCTTGTGGTAGGGGAAAGCTTTCACCTTATAACTGAAAGAGGAAGACAGAGGAGGAAAAGGAGGAGACTGGGATCCTACAATCCTCTTGGGGTAAGCCATAGACGACCTAAAACTTCCCACTGAGCCTCACCTCTTAAAGGTTTCCAGAACCTTCCAATAGAGCAAAGCTGAGGATACATGGACCTCTGGGGGACGTTCCAGATCCCAGCTATAGGAATGGAATCGTCAGAAGCATGATTTCCCACTTTGGGCAGAAGGCAGGCAAAACCTAGCCAGTATTTTGGTGAATAAAGCTGCCTTAGGATCAGCAGAGCCTCACAGGACAGACCACCCCAAATGAGGACAATGACCAAAGATGAAGAAACTGCACGTAGGGACAGGAGTTATCATCTTATGGGAACCAGATTGCTCTCCTCAGGTGATGATAGGAATAACAACTTCTGACGCTCAAAGAACCAGAACTGAGATAGTCACAGCCAGGCCACAGTGGGACAGGGACTGTTTAATAATTATGCATGTCTCTCACTGCCTGCCCTAATTCCTTCTCTATTTAAGCCTGAAGCTTCTGTTTATACCCAAAGGGGGACTGAAGTGACTACTTTGCTTGTGCTTCATAATAAACCTCTTTTCTCTGCCTTCATCATTACTTGTCATATAATTTGGGGTATTGGAGTGAGTGACAGACCTGATGTGTGGAACTCCTAGAGTTGGACCTCTGGTCTAGAACTCCCAGTTACAATTATGAACCATCAGTTGCCAGATCTAAATAGGCAGCAATTTAGGTTCACAATACTGTTGAATATACAAAGGAACAGCCCACACGGAGCTCTGAGTCTCTTGATGTCTTTTGCTGTGGGCTAAAGTCCCCTGGTGAGGTTTAAACTTCAAAAGTGGCCTCAAATTGGAAATGTTCCATAGGAAAGGTCAGCAGTAAATATTGACCCCAGATCAATTGTTTCTGTTTAAGTTCCAGGCTGCCCCAACAAGTGAGAGCAGCTAGGTCACATTTGACAAAGACAGTGCTCTTAGGAAGACTTGCTATCCTGAAGCCTGACAGAGACAATCTCCCTGGTTCTGAGTTAAACCTCTTCTTCCCACAATGGAGAGGAGGGTGCTGAAGGTATTGGTTGTGTTTGCTCTTGCAGTGGACTACTGGGCTTGCTCAGGTAAGGAACTCAACACCAGGGCCACATGGTCTTAGTGATGCACAGTTACCCTGTCTTATCTCACTGTGGCCATGTGCTGTGTGTCCAGGGTTCCCGGTGTACAACTACGATCCATACTCCCTGCAGGAGGCCCTCAAGGCCTCTGTGGCAAAAGTGAATTCTCAGGACCTGAGTCCATACCTGTTTCGGGCATTCCAAAGTTCATTGAAAAGGGTAAGTGTGAGGTAAAGCCTCTCTGTTCTTTGCACTTCTGTATTTCCTTTGGTTAGGGTCTTAGACAGAATTTTTTTATTATTCCAGTTGAAAAAGATAATAGCTAGTCATCTCCCACTGACTTTTTGGACACAGAAAGGATTTAATTACCAGTTTTGTCCTGAGATTCTTAAAGCTGCTTTAGACAACTGATTCTTCTGCAGTGTTCTCCCTTCTGACCTTGTCTTCTGTTTCTCTGCACCTGCCTTTGAATCTGAAGTCCTCAGGGGTCCTCTGGCCACTTTTTTTTTTATTATTAAGAACTACTCCTTATCAGAAATGAACCTCGTTTCTAATTTACTAATTCTGCTCTGAATACTTACAGGAAAAAAATGCCGACTTTTGAGCCAAAGGAATCCATGTTCCTTTGTCAAATTGATAGTGTTCTGTTTCCTGATAGCCTGGGGACCTAGGGAAGAAAAAAATTTCTTGAGCTTTCACTAAGTCTGTCAAAAGCAAAGGGAAAATATAGGGACACCCTTCAGAGGAAATGAGAAACAGGGAGCAAGTCCCCCCACTCCTTCCTGTCCCCCAAGTAATCACTGCCTACTTATCTTTTTAATGAGAGAGAGGAAAAGAAAAACCCTCAGGCAAATTTAGGGTACGGTGAGAGGTGGGGGAGGTTCCATTAAGGTAGGAGCCATAGGAACTGAAAATGTGCAACTAGATTTATTGGAGTAAAATAGAGCAAGGTCAGGCACCCTGACCTGCCTGCTCCTTTTCCTTTCTCCTTTGCGTCCCCTCCACAGTTCACACTTATCTTGTTCTCCCTGCTACTCACATACAGTCTCCAGACAGGACATGTTTATCTTGACCATACTTTGCAGAAACTAGCTCCAAATTCTAAGCAAATAATTGAATTATCTCAGTTGCTTCTTCTAATTGGATCATAGGTCATGAAGACTTTGAGTTGTGCCTTAGTTAGGGGTCCATCCCAGGACCTGGCTGTCAGGGTCAGAGTAATGTTGTTTAAACCTAGATGTGACAGGGGAGACCCTGAGGTAGGTGGGATCAGCTGCCTAGCCATAGGCCAGACTGTTTGTGGAGAGTAGGGCGTCAGAATGAAGAACTGTCTTCCTAGCTGGGAGTATTGGCCTCTAAATACCAGTGGCCATTTTGTTTGACGAGACCCTCTTGCATTGTGGTGAGAACCATGTCCTCTGGCCAAGCTTGTAGATGAACTGTGAAAATCAACTTGTGATTTAGCTATTGCTCACTGCACAGCAAAGTTAGTAATTCAGTGAGTGAGCACATGAGCACAGATTCTGAGAGACTGTGGAAGTCTGGCCTGTGGAGATGAGCTCGTGTGAGGCATGGCCATCATAGCACGTGTACCATCTGTCAGGTGCACACAGGCCTGAGCCTAGGGGTATGTCTTAAAGATAAGCATGTGTACAGGTGATGCATGTGATCCTTACAAGTACATGAATATGAGGCACCTCCCTGTCTCAAGCCCGTGGGTCTCCTGTTTGCAAGTCTTCCTGTCCTTGCTTGCCTCCAGTCTTTCTTGAATATTCTCTCATTGGTCAAGCTACTTTCGCCATGCCCTATTCTTGAACATCCATTTATTTTCCTCCCCTTATAGGGAAGACCTTCTCCTTTGATCTTTCCTGGTGTATTTCTTTCTTCTTGGAGCTGTTTCACATTTTGCTTTATGTTGTGTGTATTAACCATGTCTTTTACAAATACACTATAGATGACCCCAAATGTACCAATTTTCTCCATCCTTATTGAGATGGGGATAGGATGGGGATACATCAAGATGCAAAGTCCTCAGGAGAGAATTGAGTGAACAGAGCACTGGCACAGACAGTACAAATAATTCACAAAAAAATTGAATAAGAAACATTGGAAAAATATTTAACCTCTCTAACCTCCAAAAAATCAGAATTAAAATAATAAGGTAGAGAGGAAGAACAGTGAGGTGAAAATAAATCTCAAACACTGCTGGAGAGAGTATAACTTGGCAAAAATTTTCTTCAAAGAGCAATTTGGAAATATGTGCTAAGTGTATTTGCAAACACGTCCAGCATTAAAATTAGCAAATATATTAAAGTTTGTATAATTTCACTTCTAGGAAGACCTGGACCAAATGCTGTGAGACTTGATTTCAAGTCTCTATCTCTTGGACTCCAAGTTTAGAAAAGGACAAGAAAGGGTTGCGCTGCATGACTTCAGCAGTGATGGCTTCCTTGCTCCAACTTTTACATTAGCTTCACTTAGACTTTCTCAGCGGACATGAGTGTAGAAAGAAAAGGTGGACTCAGGCCCTGTGCTGGGGACAAGCAGTGAAAAATAGAAACCAGATGAGGTTGGGTGTTCATGGAACTCACATTCTACTGGGGAAAAAGGGGAAGGAGGGAATGGGTGCTGACAGATAGATGATGATGGTAGATAGATAGATAGATGGATAGAGCTCACTTCGGAGTGGTGAGTGCAGTGGAGAAGACAAAGCAGGTTGACAGGTGGATGAGCCAAGACTGAGGCAGTAGTCAGATGGCAAAAGTCTCCACTGAAGCCATCATATTTGCGTTCATTTAATTGACAAGAAGTTCCAGCCAGGGGAAGACCTTTGGAGGAAGTACCAGAGAGTGCTGGGCAGAACAAGTAGGAGGGCACCAAAGCACAGAAAACAAACAAACAAACAAACTTAAGAGCAAGTCTGGCTAGGGTCACTTGAGCAAGAGAGAAAGAAGAAGGAATGGAGAGGTAGGCAGGAGTTGACATGGCTGGGTCATGACTTTGAGGAGCTGGGAGGACAGGAGGCCTTCAAGGAGGTTTCAAACAGAGAATACATTTACATTTGCAGACAATCTCTGTTTTACTCAGCAGGGGCTGCTATAACAAATTACCATAGACCGGATGGCTTCACACAACAGAGATCTATTTCTCATGGTTCTTTAGGCTAGAAATCACAGATCAAAATTTTAACCATGACAAGTTTGTGGTTAGAACTATCTTCTGGGTTGCATATGGTCAACTTCTCATTGCATTCTCACATGGCAGAGAGAGAAGTAAGCTAGCTTTCTGGCCTCTGTTATAGGACACTAATCACATTCATGAGGGCTCCACCCTCATGACCTAATCACCTCCCAAAGACTCTGCCTCCAAATGCCATCTCACTGGGATTAGGATTTCAACATATAAAATTGAGGGGTGGTGAATCATTCAGTCCATTGTACTTTCTCTAGTACAATGTGTGGAGGGGGAGTACAAGGGAGGAAGCCAAGACTGATGAGATCCTGGTGTTGAATCCAGGTAAACGTAGTCTTAGTCTGTATCCTAGTCCATTTTCTCTTGCTATAACAGGTACCTGACACCTAGTAATTTATAAAGAAAAGAGGTTTATGTAGCTGATACTTCTAGAACTGAGAAGCCCACAAGCATGGTGCTGTCATTTGTTCAGTTTCTGGTGAGAGCTTTCTTGCTGCATTATTACATGGTGGAGAGTGTCACACAGCAACACAGAGCAAACATGCCGGAGAGAGCTGTCTTTTATAACTCCAACAATAACCCATTACTTTATGAAGTGATTGATCCACTCATGAGGGCAGAGCTGTCATTATCTGATCACCTCACAAAAGGTCCTGACTCTCAATACCACTGTGTGGGAAAACAAATTTCAAGAACCTGAGCATTTGGAGGACACATTCAAACACAGAAATCCACTTTCTGTTGCTGAAACAGAACACCTGAGATTAAGCAATTTATAAAAAAAAGAAGTTTATTTGGGCTTATGTTTCTGGAGGTTAGGAAGTTTAAGAGCATGGTGACAGAGAGGGTCCCATGCTGCGTCAAGAGGAAGGCAAAGTGGGCAGGTGAAGAAGAGGCCAAATACAAAGTGTGCCCTACTTGTGAAAAACCCATTTTCATAACTAACCCAGTACCACGTGAGCAAGAACTCACTCACTATCACAGGACGTACCCATCTCACAAGAAAGGCACTAATTTATTCATGAGAGCTCCATCCTCATGACCAAACATTTCCCAATAAGCCCCACCTCCCAATGCTGAGACGTTGAGAAATTAAAGTTCCAAAAGTGAACATCAACTTAAATATTAATAACAAAAGACTGTACTGTAAAATAGGTACAGTGTATATAGGGGGGTACTTGTGGGGGGGGTGAAGGAAGGAGATTAAGGTGAGGGTATATGGTAGATGGACTTCTTATACCTATATGAAATAGAACAAAGAAACCTCTTGCAATTGCTTTAAGTGGGGGTGGGGAGGTGTTTTGGGGATAGATGACTAATGTACAATATAAGCCTAATCGGAATTGTCACTATGAATTCCCTATTATTTGGATATGACTACATCCTAATAGAAATTTTATAATAAAAAAAAGTTCCAACAGGTATGTCATATGATAGAGCAGAGATGGTAACTGGTTCTCATTGGGGGTGGAGTGGATGGGAGGAGTGGGTGGATTTGGGGAACATTGGAGGCAACCACAGGATATTTAGGATCTGTTGTGCCCATCCAAGCTCATTTTTGTCCATTATTACCCATTATCTTCTTTTGGGGGTTTTGGTTTTCTATATTATTCTTAAGTATTTCAGAGATAACCATCTATTTCTGGTCTTTACTCATTGTCCAGCATTGGGATTTGTTAGAGAAACAGAACCAATAGGGTCATACATGTGTGCATGCATATGTGTAAGTGTTGTGGGGGGGGACTTAAGAAACTGTCAGATCCCAAGGGCTCTGCCATCATGAATACACTGATGCTCCTATGGAGGCATTGAGTTAGTTATTGCAGGATGGGTTCCTGATAAAAAGGTGGGTTGGCTCCCTTCCCCCTTTCTCGCATGTGCTCTTTTGCCATGTGATACCTTCTGCCAAGTTATGATGCAGCAGGAAGTTCTTACCAGATATAGCCCTTAACTGAGGGCTTCCCAGCCTCCAGAACTGTATGAAATAAATCTCTGTTCTGTATAAATAGTCTAGCTTCAGATAAAATAGATTAAGACAGAAAATAGGTAACCAAGATAGAGACTTTTGTTGTAATAAACACCTGAAAATGTGAAAGCTGCTTTGTAACTGGGTGATGGGTAGAGCATGGAGGAGCGGCCTAGAGAAAGCCTAGATTTCTCTGAATGGAGCATTCTGGGAAGCTTTGGTAGGGGCTCAGAGGAAGAGAAGAGACAGGGAGTATAGCCTAAATCTCCTTAGGGTTTACTGAAGTGGTTGTAAGCACAATGCTGAGGTCTCAGTCAGAAATAAAGAACAACACACTGGAAATGGGAGTAAACGCCACCCTTGTTCTATATTGCTGCAAAAACCTTGGTTGAGTCATGTCCATTTCCTGGGACTTTGAGGAATGCAGAACTTAGAGTGACAAAATAGCCGGGCATCGTGGTGCATGCCTGTCATCCCAGCACTAGGCAGGAGGATCTTGAGTTTGAGATCCATGGCTGCTTTGGCCATATACAGTAAAATGAGAGAAAAGAGAACTGACTTAAGTATGGAGCTTATGATGAAAACGGAAGCAAAACAGAGAGATTTTGAAACTCCCAGCCTGGTCATGGAAGATATGAAAAGATAGACTAAGGGAGAGAATACCAGTGGTGTGGCCAAGAGACTGTCTAAAGGGATCAGTATGGGTAAAGAGAAGCCTGGGTTGAGTCTCTTCCATCTAAGCACCTTCCCAAGGGCTATCATGAATTGTGTGAAACCCCTTCTCTCCAGCATTGCAGTAAATGGTTCTCCCCTGTTCATGTTTGCTCCAGCAACATGGTTCAGACTTCTCCCTGCCCCAGGGCATTGGCTCTGCTTTTTCCTCACATGATGGGTTTCTTCCCACCCTTCAAGTGTGTCAGCTTAAATTTTCCTTCTTCTAGAGGATTTGTCTGGCACTTTCTCTAATGTAGCTATATTCTGTCCCACCACCATTACCGTGTTGTTGCAACTGGAACTGTCTGGAATGGGTTTTCAGCTTTCTTCCATGCATTTTTGGTGTGGCACCCACTGTAGAATCCCAGCTGCCTGGCATTTTCCCCACTCGACCTCTGGTGTTGCACATGTAGTGAACACGTGATAAGTCATAACACCTCTGTGTTTTCAGAGCTTCCAGATTTGTCAGGAAGTTTGGGAGACTTCCCCAGCACCCCACCCTTGGTGGAAAGAAGTAGAGAGTCATGCAAATATCATCATAGCTCAGAACCACTCAAGCAGGAGCCAGGGCTGGAAAATGCTGTGCAGCTGAGATGCACTTGTTGCTCCATTACCGATCCCAGGAATTATTAAGAAATTATGGAGCTTCTGTTTAGGAAAACAACACTTAAGACTCCATCTGGTTGATTCTCATTATTTGTGGTAGTTCTGTTGTTCAAAATTGCCGTAAACATTGAATGTGTGAATACAGAGTCATTGCTCCCAGGAGAAATACAGGGATAGGTTCCTACAAGTCTTGGCTTATGGCATTTTTGTTGACCAATCAATACGCAACCTTGTTTTTGTGGGTTCCTGTTCAAAGATACCTAATCTAATGTGCAGTGTAGATTCATTATCACTGAGCACACAGACAAGGACACCAGGATTCCTGTCTAAAGGAAACTTATCCAACATTGTATTTTTTCTCCATAAGGTCTTCCCACTATTCTTGACCTTAAGAATACTGGGAAGCTCTTTAGTCTTAGCTGGGGGAGGGGAGAGGGAAGATGAAATTATCAGTGAAAATCACAAAAATGCCAAAAACATGGTGCTAAATAGACCAGCATGTTTGCAGAATGGGAGCTGAAACCAGAAGCAGAGCATCTCCCTGTTTGGCCTCTGGTGAAAACGTGCACGATGGCAACTTAAACTTTCTGCCACTGCATGTGTCCTTGAATGACTGCAAGAATTCTGTGAGTATTAATTTTGGAATTGTGTATAAAGTTTATGAGTAGACAAATTTGCAAGCATAGAATCCATGAATACTGAGGGTGAATTGTTAAAGTAAATCTTTAGATACAATACTGGCCTTGGAGTTAGAATACCTTCCGTCTTTCTTTGTTTCTTTGTCTCTCTCTCTCTCTCTCTCTCTCTCTCCCTTCATCCCTCCCTTCCTTCCTTGTTTTGAGACAGGATCTTGCTATATAGCCCAGGCTGACCTCAAATTCATCTCCCTTCTGCTTCAGCCTCTCAAGGGCTGGAATTATAGGCATGTACCACAGTGCCCAGTTTCCCTGGTTTCATTTTTGTCAATACTGAATGACTGGTAAATCAGTTTTTCTCTCTGGTCTTTAGAATAAAGGCACACTACCAGGCTCATTGCTAAGATAACTTACAGTTTGCATGGCGGATGATTCTGTAGATGTCTTCTCTTTGGGTAGAGAGAATCATGTCTAACATCATAAACTTCAGAAACACATCTACTGAAAACTGATGCTTTGTTTTTGTGAAGGTCAATGTCCTGGATGAGGACAACTTGATCATGAATTTAGAGTTCACCGTTCGAGAAACTACATGCTTGAGAGATTCCAAAGAAGATCCATCTACCTGTGCCTTCCAAAGGGGCTACTACGTGGTAGGTGTGGCAGAGGTCCTGGGCTAGGAAACTACCACAAGAATCCCACTTCTTCCCTGACCAGAGTGCATTTGGACTCATAGAGGGAGACTGACCACTGCCTGGCTGGCTTTCAGCCACAAACTAAATGTGTCACTACCGTGTTTCCTGGCACAGGCGGTGTTGAGGATATCCATTCTTGAGCCCTGGAACCTGTGGTCCTGGCTGACTCTTTAATCCCTGGTGCCCCTGCTTCCTGCTCTTTAAATTATGACTGGATTTATATCAGATAAAGTAGATACAAAGAGGTCTATATCAAAGAAAAATCCAGACTCATTTCAGATTGTTGTAAATGGATGTAAAACGTGAACTATGCTTGTGGCCTGTGTCACGTTATTTTGTAGTTGGCCGTCCCGTGGTATGTCTCCCTTAGTAGTTCAGGCTCCATGAGTTCAGGAACATGGCAGGTTCATTCCTGTATCATGTCTGTTCATTTCTGTCAGAATAGAGTCTGACATTTGGTCACTCTCTGTGGGCAGGAGTCCCCTCTGGTCAAGGCAACACCATGCATCCAGAATTTTCCTCCCATGGGGTTCATTCAGATGTATGACTTCAGTGATTGTTTCGTTATTTATTTAATGAAACTTTTCACTGAGCCGCTCTGTCTTACAAGGACCCGAGTGTCACCAGCATCTGCTTCTAACAAAATCTGAGGACATAGTTCTGTGGGGCCTTCACCAGTTGCTGATGTTATTCAGATGACAATGGATTCAAGGCAACCCCTCAGTGCTCACAAAGGGATTGCAAGTTTTCCCTAGAGACTTGCAAGGTACCAAAACCTGAGAGACATCTAAATGTCTCATTTGTCTCTGTGTAGTTTTTGAGAAATTTTCATTTTGGAAAGTTGAGCTGTCTCTGTGATTCTTTTCCTTTCTTTTGGCATCTCTTTGTCAAGCCCCACAGCACGGCCCAATCTTTTGTGCAGGGGCTACTCCCCTACACGATGCTGGAGGTGACTGAACATTTTGTTTCGTCTTTTCCAGCCAACAGCTGCTTGCAGAAGCACTGTGCAGCTGTCTGCCGAGCAGGTGCAAGGTGTGTGGGTTCACTGCCGCTGGTCCTCCACGTCTGAGTCTTATAGCAGCGAAGAGGTATGATCAGGGGATGTTGCCTTGTGGAGAGCACATCTTAGGGTCCGTGTGGATCTGTGAAAAGCCAACTGGTTTGATAGGGTAGCTGGATCATCACCCAAGAGTTGTTCGCAGAACTGCTTACATAGCTGGATTCTCCCAGGGGTTCCCCAGTCTCATTTTCTATCTTCTACTTCTCCCAGTCTCCTCTCGTTCTCTCCCCACCCTGAGCTTTGGGACATGATTTTAAAATGATAATAAGCAAATCTTCAAAGCTTTAGAACTAAGAAAGTGGTTGTGTGGAGAGAAGAGGGGTATTTTTGTTGGACCAGTGTTCAAGACTATTTACCAGATGTGCAGTCTAGGTCAGGTTACTTATTAACCTTCACTTCACCCTTAAGAACCACAGCTTGTCATCTGTTAACCTAATAAAGACTGCCTTACAGGTTGTTGAGAGAATTGAGCAAGTCGATGAACATGAAACATCTGCTCCCATGTTTAGAATATAATAGATACTCCGTTAATGGTAGAATCCTTTTTCTCTCTAATTGCATTAGAAGTAATTTACAATAATGGTATGAAATTAATTATATTTATTTCTGGATTGAAATTATTCTACATTATTTAACTGCTTTTCTTGCTAGACTGTGTTTCCTGAGCTCTGCTCTGGGACGTTTGTCTTTATCAGCTTAGGACAATATTTGATGCCTGGTAGATGCTCCCTAAAGACTTGTTGAATGAATAGAAAACTAGGGAAGAAATGGCCGTGAATACAGTGTGAAAAGAAAGCCACTTGACTCTAAACTAGGGATAAAAATATCAGTTATGTTATTGTTCATTCATAATTGGATAATACTTTTGACAGATATTTAAAATTTCTTCAACCATTTTGTAGCTAAATCTAACAACTTTCTCTACATCCTCTATTTTTATTCAGTTTTTCAAGATGTTATTCTATACTGAAAATTACATTAAAAGTGTAAAATTTCCACTTCAAGAACTACACATAAAAGTTAATGTCCCCATGTTATTACCACAATCACACCTTAACTATTTTGCATGAGGTCCATTTTAGAATTAGGAAGGCGTAAAACCAATGGCTGGGGATTGAGGTGGATAAAACACCATTAGGAGTGAAATAATGAAAACACAGGCATAAGGCTACCAGGTAGGGTGATGTTGAACAATACCAGGCCAAGACAGCCTTCTGGGTCATATCCAACATTTCTGGCTTTCTTCTAATGAGAGGAAGGGCCTTGGGTCTGGGTTGGGGGTAGAGTCAGATGAAGAATGGACTGGGACAGGGAAGAGTGGACATGGAGCGCTAGGAGCCGGGCAGAAGAGGTGAGAATGCTAGGGCCTGGTAGTGAATGTGGGGAGAAATAGTTTCTACCTCATTCTATGACCTTCTACACAGTTGACATTAATTTAACAAATGGCCACTTAATGTAGCCCTCTTTCATTTTGGATTAGGAAAGTTGATTCTTATTATACCTTGCATAAGTCTGCTGCAAGTTTCCAACCACATGGGGAAGCCCACTCCCTCTTCTTTTCTCTTCTCTTTCAAGTTTTATGCTCTGATGTTATTATGTTAGCCCCTAGGAAAAACTGAAATAAATTCCAAGGTGCTTGTCCTTAAAGATTAAGCAATAATAAAAAATTATGAAAAATTAAAAAGAAAATAATTCCACAAAATAAAGAATTCTACAGCTTCAAAGAAAAAGAAGAAAACAGGTAGACATTTTAAAGTAACTCTTAGGAACTCTGAAATGGACTTCTTTCTTAAATAAATTTTTAATTGATATAATAACTATAATAATAATATAGGGTATGATGTGATTTTTAACCTATTTATACATTATAGAAATATTTCTCATGTGAAACAAAAAATTAGGAAGTAGTGGTTAACCACTTTTAGTGAAATACATAGTGACATCTCAACCATGAAAGATAATTTACTTGGATAAATTTAGTCATAGAACAAATAAATCATTGTTGGAAGTATAAAATAGAAGAAATGAAGCTAAGAAAGTTCCAGAATATTGAAAATAAAGACCACTTGAAAAACATGTAGAATACAGAAGAATTTCCATAGTGAGGAACATAGTATCAACAAAGATGGAAGCCATGAAAAATAAGGCCAAAAATCCAAATTATGACTGATCAAGTGAAAATAACTCAAGCAAGAAATAATCTAGTAAGGACACAAAGAGAGAAACTGTCCTGAATATGAAAAGTCTGAACTTCCCATTACATAATTTAAAAAATATTGAGAAAATAAATATTTAAATTTGCCAACAGTCTCCTCTCCTTTAAAACAACAGATATTTGAATTATGGGTAGTTTGTACTTTTTTTTTATTCTGAAAGGGGAGCATGCAGAGGAGGAAAGGTGCCTTTGTGGTGCAGAAGCATGAGCTCCACCATGTGACGGTGCCATCTGTCATACGTGTGGTGCCAATGTGGGCACCTGAGTTTTCTTTTAGTCTGCAGCTTCCACCCAGTGGATGGAGCAAGGTTTCAGCCAAGAGTCAACACAGTCCAAAAGAGAGAAACTGAGGAAGAATAACAGCAGGAATTCTCAGCTCAGGAGAGGAATAAATTTACTGCTTTCCATTTCAAAAGACAGGAGTCCAAGAAGGAGTCTAAACCAAGAAGAAGTCTAAGTCAAAACGGGATAATTCCTGGATCACATTTCCAGAAAGGAAAAGGAGATGAATTCATGGATGCCTCCATTTAGGAATCTTCAACACCACGCACCATCTTCTCCTTCTTCCCCTCTTTCCACTCCTTCTCCTCCTCCTAATTTCATCTCCTTATACTCCTCCCCCTCGTCGTCTTCCTTCTATTGTCTCTCCCTCTCCCTCCTTCCTGTACCTCTTCCTCCCATTGCCGTGAGCTTTGTTCTTGCATCAGGAAATAAAGCCACAGCTACTCCACATTGACATCCCCTGAACTTAGAAGGAAAAGGAAACATTTATTTTTTATTTCCAGTTGTAGTAAGTGAAATTTCTTGGCATTGTTGTTAGCAGGCTTTGTTCATGTGCCCCTCATATGTATATATATATATATGTATAGTTCTTTGTTGCTTATTAATTTAACTGTAAATATTTACCATGCACAACATGATGTTTTGTATGGTACCAGGAGTCAACCCCAGGGTCTCACACATGTAAAACACACTGTACCACTGAACTATGTCCCCAGCCCCCCCTTTCTTTGGTATTGGGGGTCACCCTCAGGCCTTGGACATGCTAGGCAGGCACTGTATCCACCCCACAGCACGGTGTTTTGCTATCCTGTGTTTTTAAGCAACACCTTGTGGAGATACAATTCCCAACCATACAATTCACCTTTCAATGTACAGAGTTCAGTGACTTTTCTGTATGTCCACAGGGCTGTCAAGCTGCCACCACTATCGTCACCCTGAAAAGAGACTCCTGGTTTGAGTCATTCCCTATTGCTCGTTAGAACCAGGGAGCTGCTTTCTGTGTCTGTGGACTGCCCATCCTGTCCATTTCATAAATGGAGCCATGTAATATGTGTTTTTTGTGACTGCCTATTGCACTTCATACAACGCTTTGTGGGTTCATATATGCCCCAGGATCTTGAACATGTTTACATGTGACGTGTGAAAAGGACTGGAAGGTACACCATTCCTTTTTAGTCAAATGACTGTCCAGTGTGTGGATATGGCACATTTGACCTATCCACTTGTTATTTGATAAACATTGGATCACTTCCCCTCTTTGGCTGTTGAAGAATGATGTCATGAGCATTCATGTCACAATTTTGGGTGGATATATTTTTAGATTTATTGGAAGTGAAATTGCTGGATCTTATGTAACTTTTTTTTTAAACTTTTTGAGCAATAACCAAACCGTTTCCAATAGCAGCTTACATTCCTACCAATAATGCATGAGAGTTTCAATCCCAGGCCTCGAACACACAGTAGGCATGTGTTCTCTCACTTGGGCCACTTTTGTTTTCACTTTGGTTCTGAGAAGGTCTTGCTAACTTTGTTCAGGCTGGCCTTGAACTCATGATCCTCTTGCTTCCACCTCCTGAGCAAGCTGGAATTACAGATGTGCACTGCCAGGCCCGCCTCTCGTCTAGTGGGTGTGAAGTGGTATTTCATTGTAGTTTATTTGCATTTTCCTATTGGCTAATGATTGGCCATTTGTAAATGTTTTTGGAGAATTGTCTATTCAGATCCTTTCCCCATGTTTTAATGAGGGTACTTATGTTTTTATGGCTGAGTTATTTGCAATTTTTCCTCCACTTTGTGTGTCTTTTCACTTTCTTAATGATGCTCTTTGTTAAGTTTGTTAAGTTCTTTTGTCATTTGTGTGGCCTACATTTACAATCCGTTTTGATTTAATTTTTGTACACAGTGTGAGGAAGGGCTCCAACAGCACTCTTTCACTTATGGTATCCAGTGGTATCAGTGTTTCCTTTCTTTCCTTTTCTTTTTTGAGGTGGGGGGAGTACTGGGATTTGAACTCCAGGCTTTGTGCTTGTTTGGCAGACACTCTACCATTTGAGTCACACATCCATGCTCCCTTCGTTCCTTTCTTCCTCCCTTCCTTTCTCCCTCCTTCCTTCCTTCCTTCCTTCCTTCCTTCCTTCCTTCCTTCCTTCCTTCCTCTCTCTCTCCCTCCCTCCCTTCCTCCCTCCTTCCTCCCTTCCCTTTCTCCCTCCTTCCTTCCTTCCTTTTCTTTCTTTCTCACAATATCTTGTTACATAATCTAGGCTGGCCTCAGACTTTCCATCCTCCTGCCGTAATCTTGTAAGTTTGGGGCTTACAGGCATGTACCACCATGCTGGGCTTACCTATGCTTTCTTAAAAATACATGTTTGATATCATATAGTTATTAAACATAGTATATATCCTTATTTATTGAAGTGTATTGTCATAAGAGTCCTGTAGGTGATACTTACAGGTTTTGCAATACATTTCTTTTCTCTTCTGTCACATGCTGATATGTACTAATGCCTATATTTCTTTAGATGATTTTTGGGGACACAGGAAGAGCCTATATGTGGAGAAACAGTTATCCACTTGGTGAGTTGACGGCTCTTCTGTTTAAATGTTTTCCTTAAAACAACTTCATATTACACTTCTTTGTGAGTGAGTCATTTAAAACTAGAAATAACTACATATAAACTTTGAACAATTCCAGTGATGACACAATGTAAACATTTTAGTTTGCTTTTGCTCCTTTCTTCTCACTATTCATTTAGATATTTCTTTATATTTCTATAGACCTTTCCATATATGATCCCTCTTGATAGTCCCAACACCTCTGCATATCAGCAGGGTCAATATTGATTTTCCCCATGCTTGAACCAAACATTTGTTCCCTCCTGGTGCACTGCATATGTTATCGAGCAGGTGTACAGTACGGTGTAGCTGGGAGAATCAGGACTTGCCCTCACCTGACTGGTTGAGGCTGAACTCTGTAATCCTCAAGTCATATGAGTAGAGCTGACCACGTCAGAGTGTCTTCGTTGGGAGAGGAAGGAGGCTCTTTTTCTTCTTCCTTGTATAATATCTAATCTGAAATGGGACTGGGTTACTGTTCTATAGTTTAGGAGCCATTTTTTTATGTTTCTAGTGACTTTTCATATTAGTGCTGATGGCAGCAAAATTCTTTGGTGATCCGCCATTTCTTTGCCTAAGAAGCTTATTTGTGGCATTGGTCACACAATCACAGAACATTCTGGAACTGGGAGGAGAGGTCTAGTCTTACGGCTGTTACTGTGTTTCAGGTCCCGTTCCTGACCCATCAAGAAATGAACAATTTGACGATCGTGGTAAGTGGTCTGTTTCTTTCCAGAGGACACCATCAGACCCTTTTCTGATCAACCGAGCCTGCGCTGAATCCACGGCATAGGAATCAAACCCCGAAAGACAAAGTAGTTTAAGTGAAAATCAAGAAGAATAGGAATGTACGAACTTGTTTTGCAAGTCATTAAAAAGGTAACTTTGAGTCACTGACTCACTCAGGGGTCACCAGGAATCTAGCTATGAAGTCCAGCCACGAGATCCGCACCTGGAGCATTTTCTGAGCAGCCACTTCTGATTGTCTCTTTTCGATGCCATTTGGGTGGTCTGGGCACCTCCTGGGTGTGAGTGACCCAGGTTCTTGGCTAATTGAACAAAGAATTTGAAAAATGCTCAGAAGTAGCAAGCAAGGCATGGATTCATTGGAAGTGGAGCTACACTCCCGCAGATGGGGCCAACCTGAATTTAAGGTCCAAAGGGAGTTGAGAGGGGATTTTGAGAGGATCATCCCTCTTATGATGGACAGCTTTGATTTACAGGAGAATGTTAGGTAACTTGTTTTTGGCTGTGCATTTCCTTACCCATAATGCATTCCAATATAATTACATGCATGAGATGCATTATATATGTATGAAGCTTTAAGTGTGTGTGTGCGGGGGGAGTGTCTCAAAAGGTCACCTGAGGACAGGTTCCCCAGCCTGTAGCACATATGCTAGCTCCAGGACTTTCTCCTCTGCCCAAACATCCTCCCTTATGCAGTGGTCACCGAGCTGGCCACAGAGGGGATTCCAAGGATGTTCCCAGTCGGATGCCTCCTTAAGGGAGCATGTCCTAGGCAGGACTTTTTGTGACATTTTATCTGGTCAGTCTCCATCCCATCTTGACCATCCTGTACTTTCCTATTCTCTTTGCCAGATTCGACCAAACCACTCCGTAAGTGGGTGCATCTGGCTCTTTCGTCTCTTCCCTTTAAACAGTCTTCTCATTCAACCTTCGTAATGGCTCTGAAAGCCAGGTGTGTTTAGCTTATTCAGGTAAAGCAGTGAGTAGCTACTCAGGATATTAATCAGCAGGCATAAAATGCTCATCCCAATTTCCCTCCCCAGCCCACACACCCATCCTAAGAGGTGGTATTGTGTTCTCACCCATTTTGTAGGTGAGCAAACCAAGGCTGGGTGAGCTGCTGTAACTTGCTCGAGGCTGCAGTGCCAACAACCCAGGCTGTCCATGGCAGAGGCAGGACTTGGAGCAGACCTGTCAGAACTGATGGCCTGGGCCTCTCCTGTGCTGCTTCTGGAGCATTTCGAAATCCATTCTGTGCTCAGAGCTCCCCATTTCATTGCATAACCCAGACATGAGTTGCTTGGGGCACTCAGTGTCTCATTTTCATTAGACTCATCTCAATTTATTTGACGTGCCAGGGTTTAAACCTGGAACTTAATTTTTAAGAATACTTAAGTTTTATACCTCTTCTAGGTTGTCACTTTGGGAAAATATACAGTTATTCTGACCACTGTGGAAAATGTTCTTCTGAACATTTCTTTTGGAATTGTCTTCAGAATCTATGGCTTATTCTTTTGAATCTCTGTTGTAGTAGTAAATAGTGACCCTTGGATTTGTTTTGGAAATAGCCAAAAGCTATCAATAGCTACCTATTTCTGTATTGACTTATCCCAAAATGTAGCAGCTTAAAACAGCAAAGATTTATTATCTTATAGTTTCTGGGGATCACGGTCCTAGGAGCAACTTAGCTGGGTGCTTCTGGATCAGAGTCTACTCGAGATTGCAGATAAATTGTTGATGGGGCTACAATGTCAGTTCAAAGTTCTCCCGGGTCCCCAGACCCAGTTTCCAGCTCTCTTACGCAGTTGATGGAAGTGAAGGTCTTGGTTCTTCATAGGGTTTTGGACTGAGGAGTTCAGTTTCTTACCATGTGGACATTTCAACAGGACTCTGTGAGTGTCCTTAAATATGACATTTGGAATCCCCTGGTGACAAGGTTGAGAGAGAGAGAAAGAGGATATGAGAATGAGCAAGCAAGAGAGTACCCGAGTTGAGTCAGAAAGCCTGGTCTTTTTGAACCTAACATGAGACTTGGAAGTGATGTATCATCGTGACTCACATAGACCACTTGGTGCAGTGACAGGGGCTGCCAAAGAATGTGAGCATTAGGAGGCCATCTTGGAGTCTGTTGCACTGGAAAAATGCCATTTGAGATGAAAAATATTGCACAGATAGGAGTGAGTGTGATCAACTCTTTTATATGTCTCAGAAGGTCTCTCTAAGCCAAATATTAACCACATTTTGGGCCCTGAGAGCATTATTAATGCAGATGTGCAGTCATCTCAGAGATGGCTTTGAATGTGACAATTTAATTTAATTCAACAAATGTGTGTGACAAGCATGGGGCAGATCCTGTGGAGGACTGAAAGAGAAATGTGACAGTCCCTGCCCTTAAGGGCTTGCAGCCATGGCTGGGACAAATCACATGGGTAGCACAGAGTGGGGAGGAATCAGCTCTGGGGCCCACAGTGTAGCGGAGGACAAGAGGCTGAATCAAAAACAGGTTCAGGTCTTCTCTGGGCTGCATGGGTTCAGGTTGTGCTGGTCACAGTTCTCATTAATTTATAGTCACCTAATTGTTGTCTCAGATTGTGACATGACTGACAGAGCCTCTGTCTCCCTCTTCTGTCTTTAGAGATCACAAGAAGAGGTATTCCTCCTGGAAGTCGAAGGTACCCCAATCAATGGCACAGAACAGGAATAAATACTGGCTTTGAGTGACAGCCTTGAGGTAAGGGAATGTGCTGAAAATACATGCCCTTAGGAATAGAAGGTACTTGGAGCCAATGCCATGCAGCTGGCAACCTCCAAGCCTCTGTACTGTGCTACACAATGTCCCCCTGCCTTTCCACTTTTGCTGGCCTCCTCCAGTTACTGCACTTCAATTGTGGCTTCAAACTCTCGACCCTCAATCTTTTCCCATGGCTCTGTAACTGCTGCCATGGACGTTTAAGAGCAAACAACAGAGAACAGCCCTGTCGTTTGACCCAGGCTCACCCAACCCAGCAACTGCCTTTGCTCTATTCTTTCATCCAGGCTGAGCTCTGTGACATTTCTTGTGAAATCTGAACTAGCTTCCTCTCCTGTACCTATAATCTAAATATCGGTGACCACTTGTATTATCTTCTTAGCCAAATTCTATTCCCTGTTCTGCAGATTTCTCTTTCATCTCTTCCTCTTGCTTAACTTTCACTGTCACTGATGTGTGATTATTTTTGAGTGTGTCACACTCTATCACAAGATCCACGTCCTTATGTCAACTGCCTATCTGATGCGGTTGCCATAGGTCTCCTGTGGGCCCTGAAATTCAACTAACTTCTTGCCAAGCTCTCTTTGTTGGTGACATTGCTCTTCACCTAACTTGTTTAACCTAAAACTCTTGGTGGTGTCACTGATTCTGCTTTGTCCTTTGTCTTTTGGCACCCACAAGAGTCCACTATTGTTCATTTCACCCACACATTTTCTGTTTTCTCTGACGTTGGCCCATCATTACCATATATTACCACTGAATAATTGATTTCGTTCTTGCCTCAGGTCTTGATCCCACACCGTCTGCATTTCTGGCTGTCCTCAGCTTTACTTTGAAACACAGGATTCTCCCTCACTTAAGCCTTTTGGTGCTGGTTTCACCTGTGGGGTGAAGCAGAGGTGTGCAAAAGCCAACACCAAGTCAAGCAGGAGAACAGGTTTCATGTTTTCCCCAGTGCTGGAGGGAGCTGGAGGCTGAAACCCAGTTTATCATACACAGCATCACAGAGTCACCAGTATGTAAATTCCCAGTTACTAGGGATTTGGCAAATGTAGCTAAGTATTTTTGAAGACTCCCAAGTATAAAATGGGCATTGTGAAGGGAATCCTAAGACGTGGATTCAGTCACGTTTATATACACATACAAGTTATTAATGAAGCTTGAGTGTTCACACACCTTACAGTTTACACCACACCACTTGCCATCAGTATAAAGCATGGTCATTCAGAATGCCCCAGTGTCATTCACAGTGACCTTACTGATCCAGCTTTGCCCACATCTCTAACTTATCTCTCCCAAGTCCACCTGGCCCCTGAGTTTCAGGGGTACTGACTGACATACTTAGCGCCCCCGGGCATCATCCACTCACTCATCCTGACCAGTCCTGCTGGTCATTCAGGTCTCAGCTCAGCTGTTCACTGCCATCCAAACCACCACCACCAAAGCAGACACACTGATGTCCCTTCTGGACCTCCATGGAACCCTTCACCAAGGGCATGGCAACTGCTGGTTTCCTCTCTGCCCATCATGCTCTCTTACTCCCTGAGACAGAGCTCAAGGACACTCCTCTGCCTTTGTCCCCCAGTGTCTTGCACGTAGCCTGGGACACTCGATACACCCACCCTCTGTAAATACCTTTTGGTGGATGATGGAATCTTTCATTTTGGCTTTTGAGACTCTTTTACCTAAAAATAAAGTTAAACCTAGCATAATTAATTTTTAACCATTTAGAATTTGAAAGAAGTCAATTGACATTTTACTAAAATATAAGAAAAATGCACCAGTGAGGCCGTCTTGGATGAAAGATTTTCATTTTAATTTATGATGTACTCTAAAAATAAAAATCAGTTTCATACTGAGATCAAGAAACTACTCATTATGAAGAAACAGATTCATCATTTTCCTTTTATATAAATGTAAAAAAAATGCTTTGCCTTCTAGAAGCATCTTGGCAGGAGGCAGAGGAAGGGTAGCATTCTCAATGGACTGGATGAGTTTTGTTAGTAACATTATTACATTGATGGAGCATACATAATGTATCAAAATATAAATGTGTCATCTGATTTCCAGAAAGAAACTGATGACCTAAGACATGTGTCCTTAAGGCAAAGCAGGCTGCAGACTGAATGCTGCAGAGCTGGTTTGGACATTGATTTTGATCGGAGTCCCAGTTATGTCTCTGTCCTCCTGTGACCTTTAGCAGGGCAGGTTTCTACCCTGTGCTCTGAGTTCCCTAGAGTTATAAATTGAAGCTGGCAAGGCCAGCACAGTGGCCCAATTAGGAGGCAGAGCCAGTGGGGTCTGCAATCGTTGTACCTGGCTCTGAACCTGCTCTTTCTCCCTGTAATAGTCACAGCCCTTTTAGCTTCTCAGGACTCACCTTCAAAGCTTTATATTTCTTTCCTCTAGACCAAGAACTCCTTGTCTTTATTATTTTATTTAATACTAAGTAAATATTATTAATGGTATGACTATGTAAAATTATTAACAATATCCTTATCAGCTTCATACTGCTAAGAACAGCATATTGTACTCAATTAGGATGGGAAAAAGGAACGAATTTGTGATTTTCAAATTGTGTGTGACATTTTTCCTATGAGGAGCTCTTTGAACATTGAGACTTTGGCTCATTTATCATGGACTCACCAGATCCTGTCTCAGTCCCTGGAATAAAATAGAAGCTGAGTGTTTCTATGATTTAATGAACACTATTCTAGGATTCTTTCAGGTTTCTAGAAAATGATTTCATATATGAATGGATAGTGAAATGTAATATTTAATAAAAGAGCTCTGAAATTGTTTCTTGATTGAACTCTAAAATACAGAACATCAGAACCTGACTCTCATGTTGAAAGGAGTCTGTTTGAGAGCACTGCACTTTCTTGTTCTTTTGTAGCAGGAGCTGTTTTGACTTCCCAGTTATGGGGCAGGAGACGCTCATCCTCTGAGCCATGGAAACATGAGTGACTTATCTTCCTTTATGTGGCTATGCTGATTTCTGTAAACTATGCCCAAGAGCAGCTCTGATTGAAGCCTTGGTGGAAAGAATCAATCCTGAAATTTCACTATTTGTTTAACTAGTGTTTATCAAATGACTGCTCTGCTCCTGCCCCCTGCACCCAGGAAGATCACAATCTTCAAGTGTGTCTGTGTCTGTATTTGTGCCTTCCACACAGAGCATTGCCCATGTTAACCATGCAACAATCCAAATGAAGACTTATTATCATCTGTGTTTCCTGGATGAGGAGGCAAGGTTCTTAGAGGCCCCTGCTTTCAGAGGCAGTGGCTGGGATTGGAGTTTCACCTAGATTTCTGCTACCAAAGCCCCTCTTTTCCCTTCCTGTGAGGACTCACATCTCTGTGTTTGCAAGATAACTTCAAGGATGATTTGTGTAAGAAATGTTTGTCATATGCTGGGTGGAGCCTCATATGTGCTTGCCAATTGAGATAAAGACTTTGATTGGCAGGGTTAGCAGCAGACCTATCTACCATCACCCATGTGGGAGGTCTGGCCCCTAACACCTGGGCTGCTTCTGCAGGCTCCCCCTAGAGATTTCAGTATTCAGGTATCAGACTCATTAGTGAGAACTTCTTGTCCTGATCTCCCATCATAGACCACCCACTAGAAGGAGCAAGACATGTTCCTCCCCCAAGGTGGAAAAGATCCCACCAAGGCTAGAGAGACAGAAACCTGGCTATGTGCTGCTGTTTATTTATGCTTTTCACTGACATTCATTCACTACACATTCCTACTTATTAGCTCACAGGTGCAGTTACTTCTCATGATTTGTGGTAGTTACAGTCTACAAATGTTGCAAACACTCCATGAGTGAATACTGAACCATTGCTCCTATGGGAAATATAGGCTTAGGTGCCTTTGAGACTTTGGTCACATTTTCCTAAAAAAGACCTGTAGACAACCTCATTTTATGTCTGTTTCTGTTTCGATGCCTTATTTAATATATTTTGTCGATTCATTACCTTTGAATGCATGGTCAATAATATCATAACTCATGGCTGAAAGAAGTTTACCTAACACGTGCTTTTTCTCTACAAGGCATATCCCAACCCTACTGAGCTTAGCTACTGAGCACTGTATTTGGAGCCATTTTGAAGAGTAAAATTATCAACAAAAAGCATAAAAATGCAGAAAGCATGACATTAACTAGACCTTGAGAAGGACACTTGTTTTAGCATGAGAAGTGAAACAAGAAGGCAAAGGACAGCCTTATTTGACCTTAGTGAGGAACATGTGAACAGGACAACACAGGATTACTCAAACTTTTTTCACAGTCTGTGCGTGTATGTGTACGGATGAACAAGAAAGCACTATAAGCCTTGATTTGGAAGACACAAATAAATACCAGTGAGCAGGTGAATTCACCTTCATCCCCAGGCCCCTGATGCTGGAGTTCAACATCCCGCCCAGTTCTCCCAAGTGAGGCTTGCCTGTCTTCTCTAGGAGCAATTGTCCTGGGTGGGGAGCAGGGGGGTGGAGAGGGGTGTCCCCAAAGGCAGATGTCTCTGACATCACATTTACCATGTTATATCTGTGTATCTGTCTTCTCCATTAGTTTGTGTTTTTTTCTTTTTCTCCTTCCTTCCTTCCTTCCTTCCTTCCTTCCTTCCTTCCTTCCTTCCTTCCTTCCTTCCTTCCTTCCTTCCTTCCTCCACCCTTCCCTCCCTTTTTCCTTCTTCCTTCTTTCTGTGTCTTTTTGTCTCTTACTCTGTCTCTCTCTCTCCTCTTTCTCTGTCAGGGCTATGTCTTTTTGATCCTTGTAATCCCCAGTAAATGCTCCACACATCCTTGTTCACTGAATGGATTAATTGATGAGGGAGTGCATGGATGCATAACATTTCTGTCTCCTGCCCCATACCCTCAGAAGACTGCAGCCAGCCTACTCAGTTACTGGCTTGATTGGTTCCTTCCTACAACTCTCATACAACTAGCAACTCCTTAGATGAGCCTGAG